AGTGCTCTACCACTTGAGCCACAACACCACTTCCGGCTTTTTCTGCTTATGTGGTGCTGAGGAATCGAACCCAGGGCTTCATGCATGCAAGGCAAGCACTCTACCACTGAGCCACCTTCCCAGCCAATCTCAGCCTTCTTGACCAGTGTCAACCCTTCAATCATTTTCCCCTGAACCTCTGAGCAAGAGGTGGCTCGAGTTGAAGCACAATGGGGAAGCAGGCTTCAGTTGGGGGGGCGGGTGTCTCTCCAAAGCCTGTCCTGTCATGTTAGCTTTCTTCCTTCGCTGTAGTGGAATACCTCAGAAAACGGACCTGAAGAAGGTTTCAGTTCGCAGTCATTTTGCCATGCTTCCACACAGCACAGCACATCCTGACTGAACATGGAGGATGCTGCTCAAATGAAGGCACCTTGGAAACAACCGGATTCCATGATCTCTTTCCAGGCACGCTCTCATGACCTAACTTCCACCAGACCCCTTCCCAAAGGCACTACCGCCTGCGGGAGTGCCACAGACTGAGACCAAGGCACATGACTTTTAGGCCACCTTCCAGACCTAAGCTGTGTAGAGAAGGCACACCAGCATGGGTCCTGTCTGCTGTGAGTACACTGCTCACCATCCGGCACTGCAGAGAGCAGAGTGTCAGCGCCACAGTAGCACAGGACTTCTGAAGTGGGTTCTGCTGAGTACACGCAGCCAGTCTCTGTCCCTGCTTGACTATATGGAATTCTGGCAGGGGCAGATCTAAAGGGACAGAAAATGCATGACAGCCTGTGTCTTGGCAGAAGCACTGTATCTTAGCAGAAGGAGTACTGGTTTGGGAAGATAGAACTTTCCATTTCTACTCTGGTGGTTACCTGTTTGGCATAGCCCTGTGGCTTGTCTGCATTTAGAGGGCTGTGTGCTAAAAGAATGAATTTTACTGGACGTTTTACTTCTTAAAAATGAAGCTAAGCCACGTGCTGGCGGCTCACAACTACAATCCTAGCTTCTAGGAGGCTGAGATCTGAGGATCATGGTTCAAAGCCAAGCCCGGGCAGGAAAATTTATCACCAGTTAACCACCAGGAAACCGGAAGTGGTAATGTGTCTCAAAAGTGATAAAGCACTAGCCTTGAGCAAAAGAGTTTAGGGACAGTATCTAGCCCCATGAATGACAAAGAAAAATGAAGACGCTAGCTGGGCACTGCTGGCTCACACCTGTCATCCTAGCTACTTAGATGGCTGAGAGCTAAGGTTCATGGTTAAAAGCCAGCCTGGGCAGCAACATTTGTGAGACTCTTATCTCCAGTAAACTACCAGAAAACCAGAAGTGGTGCTGTGGCTCAATTGGTAGAGCACTAGCCTTGAGCATAAAAGCTCAGGGACAGTGCTTAGACCACGAGTTCAAGTCCTAGGACTGACACACAAAAAAATTAAGAAGTAATTTAGTATGACCTGTCTTTATGGGTGTAGCCAGTGACTCCTGCTTATTTTCTACAGGCACCAATTTTGGGCTTTAGTAGCTGCCATAACGCTCATGGTCATGCACTTACTCACATTTTGCCCCACATGATTGGGAAAACTTGAGGCACAGAGAAATTAGATGGCCCACATCTTTGGCTTCTGCCACCCAGTGTACCTTACCACCACACCTCACCTCACCCGACTCTTGTAGACAAGAAGAGTCCTCTAAAAGACTGCTGAGAAAACTGGACGTGGATGTGGACTTAGTGGCTGTTTGTGTGCTGCAGGCTGGGGCTGAAGGAGCAGCAGGAGAGAGAGGTGGTCCACGTGCTCATGGACTGTTGCCTGCAAGAGAAAACATACAACCCCTTCTACGCCTTCCTGGCCAGCAAGTTCTGCAGCTATGAGCGGCGGTTCCAGGTAACTAGATAGACGCTCCCTGTGCCATCGGGCAGGCGCCCCTTGGAGCTCCCCGAGACCCTGTGCTGTCTCAGGCAGCATTGTGGCCAGAATTGACTGTCTGCTTTTTTGTTTAATTTTTGAGTTAGCATGCGTCAGTGATAGAAGGGGTTTCGTGGTAATGATCTCACACAGTGTACCTTAAACAAGTTTACCTCCCCCATTACATTGCCCTCCTCCCCTTCGTCTTCCCCCTTTTCAGTGTTGTGTTTCATTATGCTGTCTTCATGTATGTGTGGACATGCTCGTACATGTGTATTCATATACATAGACATGTACACTGTATCCTTCAGTCCTCGTCACCCCTTCTTATCCTTTACCCCTCACCCAAACAGCCCCCCCTTTTGCATTCATGTCCCATCATTATTATCATCCTCTTTATTTTAGGTCTAGATTCTACAAATAAGAGCATGACATTTTTGGCTTTCTGGGCTTGGCCTACCTCATTCAACATGATGTTCTCCGTTTCCCTCCATTTTCCTGCAAATGACATAGTACCATTTTTTTCTTTGTGATATACACAGGTAGATTGTTGTGGGATATATATATATATATATATATATATATATATATATATATTCATATA